TTTAAAAGTCTGACATTTGACTTCTTAAACCCGAGAGCTCACCACTTTGATTCCTGAAGTAAAAATCTCGTTCATTTTCTCCATAGCTGATTTGATAATTATCCATGACGAGCTACCTGAGCGTGAGACGATGGTTTCTGTTCCTGTAGGAGACACAAGTTCATCTGATATCAACCTTTAAGAACAACACGTTTTATTCACGATATCAGGGGGAAAAGAACGACACTAAAGAACTACAATACCCACAATCACAGAGCAATATGTATGTATGTTCCTTTTTCACTTTTTTGAACGCCGTATTGGCGCCAAATTAAATGTTTTATAGTCAGGGAAACTGGTTGTCATGGTAACATGCCTCAATCTCGAGTCCGTCTCCCTCAACGAGTCCACCTCCCTGAACGAGTCCGCCATCCTCAACGAGTCCGCCTTCCTCAACCTGTCCGCCTCCCTCAACGAGTCTGCCTCCCTCAACGAGTCCGCCTCCCTCAACGAGTCCGCCTCCCTCAACCTGTCCGCCTCCCTCAACGAGTCCGCCTCCCTCAACGAGTCCGCCATCCTCAACGAGTCCGCCTCCCTCAACGAGTCCGTCTCCCTCAACGAGTCCGCCATCCTCAACGAGTCCGCCTCCCTCAACGAGTCCACCTCCCTGAACCTGTCCACCTCCCTCAACGAGTCCATCTCCCTGAACCTGTCCGCCTCCCTCAACGAGTCCATCTCCCTGAACCTGTCCGCCTCCCTCAACGAGTCCGTCTCCCTCAACGAGTCCGTCTCCCTCAACGAGTCCGTCTCCCTCAACGAGTCCATCTCCCTCAACGAGTCCACCTCCCTGAACCTGTCCGCCTCCCTCAACGAGTCCGTCTCCCTCAACAAGTCCGCCATCCTCAACGAGTCCACCTCCCTCAACGAGTCCATCTCCCTCAACGAGTCCACCTCCCTGAACCTGTCCGCCTCCCTCAACGAGTCCGTCTCCCTCAACGAGTCCGCCATCCTCAACGAGTCCACCTCCTTCAACGAGTCCATCTCCCTCAACGAGTCCGTCTCCCTCAACGAGTCCATCTCCCTCAACGAGTCCACCTCCCTCAACGAGTCCATCTCCCTCAACGAGTCCACCTCCCTCAACGAGTCCATCTCCCTCAACGAGTCCGTCTCCCTCAACGAGTCCATCTCCCTGAACCTGTCCGCCTCCCTCAACGAGTCCGTCTCCCTCAACGAGTCCATCTCCCTCAACGAGTCCACCTCCCTGAACCTGTCCGCCTCCCTCAACGAGTCCACCTCCCTGAACCTGTCCGCCTCCCTCAACGAGTCCGTCTCCCTCAACAAGTCCGCCATCCTCAACGAGTCCACCTCCCTCAACGAGTCCATCTCCCTCAACGAGTCCACCTCCCTGAACCTGTCCGCCTCCCTCAACGAGTCCGTCTCCCTCAACGAGTCCGCCATCCTCAACGAGTCCACCTCCCTCAACGAGTCCATCTCCCTCAACGAGTCCGTCTCCCTCAACGAGTCCATCTCCCTCAACGAGTCCACCTCCCTCAACGAGTCCATCTCCCTCAACGAGTCCGTCTCCCTCAACGAGTCCATCTCCCTGAACCTGTCCGCCTCCCTCAACGAGTCCGTCTCCCTCAACGAGTCCATCTCCCTCAACGAGTCCACCTCCCTGAACCTGTCCGCCTCCCTCAACGAGTCCGTCTCCCTCAACAAGTCCGCCATCCTCAACGAGTCCACCTCCCTCAACGAGTCCATCTCCCTCAACGAGTCCACCTCCCTGAACCTGTCCGCCTCCCTCAACGAGTCTGTCTCCCTCAACGAGTCCGCCATCCTCAACGAGTCCATCTCCCTCAACGAGTCCGTCTCCCTCAACGAGTCCACCTCCCTCAACGAGTCCGCCTCCCTCAACCTGTCCGCCTATCTCAACGAGTCCATCTCCCTCAACGAGTCCGTCTCCCTCAACGAGTCCGTCTCCCTCAACGAGTCCGCCTCCCTACATGAGTCCGCCTCCCTAAATGAGTCCGCCTCCCTCAACGAGTCTGTCTCCCTCAACGAGTCCGCCTCCCTCAACGAGTCCGCCTCCCTCAACGAGTCCGCCTCCCTAAATGAGTCCGCCTCCCTCAACGAGTCCGCCTCCCTAAATGAGTCTGCCTCCCTCAACGAGTCCATCTCCCTCAATGAGTCCGCCTCCCTAAATGAGTCCGCCTCCCTCAACGAGTCCGCCTCCCTAAATGAGTCCGCCTCCCTCAACGAGTCCATCTCCCTCAACGAGTCCGCCTCCCTAAATGAGTCTGCCTCCCTCAACGAGTCCATCTCCCTCAACAAGTCCGCCTCCCTAAATGAGTCCGCCTTGAACCTTGACCCTGAACCCTGAGGATGATCTCCTCCTGACATCTGACCTCTCTAACTCAGTCTCACCAACACAAGGAGAAGTGGGCGGAGTCACAGAGGACGAGCTGCTGGAGCGACATGAAGTTCTCCTGACTCTGAGCAGTGACATGCAGCACGGAGCATAAAGGTCCAAACAGCTGAATATAAGGAGCATGAAAGTTGAGTTATTAGAGGAACATGGAGGAAGCTGAAGCATGTAAATCAATCCAACGGTGAGATATTAGATCAGGAGCGTGTCCACGCCACGGTGCACGGTGAGAGCAGCATGAAATTAGATTTCAGGAAAGCAGCAGCAGAGAAAGTGACTTCACTCTAAATATCCATCAGAAGAGAAAATATGAGCACCAGACACCTGAGGACATCTTTAAAGAATCCACGAGGAGAGCAAATCAGAACGCACGTTCAGTCAGGAAAAAAGATCTACAGGAACGCACACACACACACACACACACACACACACACACACACACACACACACACACACACACACACACTGTATGGGGCGGCTGTGTCTCAGTTGGTAGAGTCCTCACCTCTCAACCGGAAGGTCGAGGGTTCGATCCCCAGCTGGGCAACATGTTCGATGTGTTCTTGGGCAAGACACTTAACCTTGCATTGCTCCCACTGCTTCAGTGGTGGTGTATGAATGGATTAGTACTCTCTGATGTACATCACATTACTCCCTCTGCTTCAGTGGTGGTGTATGAATGGATTAGTACTCTCTGATGTACGTCACATTGCTCCCGCTGCTTCAGTGGTGGTGTATGCATGGATTAGTACTTACTCTCTGATGTATGTCGCTCTGCTAAGTGAATTGTAACATTGTAACACATAGTGGACGTATTAACAATGATGACGCCTGTTCATTTCTGAAGTGGAATTTTGAAGCCAGTCAATTGCCCATCGCGGTTTCTATAGAAACAGGTGAATAGGTGAAGCAGAGGTGGGTCCTGTCTGCCAGGTTAGCCATGCCCCTAATCATGAATAATCTTAATTACATCAGGTGAGTTAAAGACAGGAGCCAATCAGACAGACTTCTGCTCCCAGCCTCATGTTGGCTTCACCACCAGAAACCAAAGAGTGACATCACTGAGCTGACGTCCATGTTTTATATCACAAAGGTTTTCATGTTACAGCTTAACATCAAGAGGAAGAAAATCTCTCATTCATTCATTCCAACATTTAGGAACGTGATGCAGATACCCTGATCTGATGTTTACACTTTCCAAAGGTTTAAATAGAGTTCATGTTCTCGTCTATATAACCTCTCCCCTGCTGCTCACTGTTAACCACACATATTGACATTCCATAAATTAATTGGACGCCCGTTGCCAACATTTATGAGGAGAATTGCTTTCACGGCCGGCGGCTAAGAAAACAGTATCAAGTTGTGTTTATGAAGTCAGGAGTCATTAATTTACTGCTTTGTATTGAACATCAGAAACGTGGAGAGCGAGCCACAGCAAAGACAAAATGAGCCAATTGATGCGTCAGGAGGAGGAGTCACATGTCAGGAGGAGAAGTCAC